TATATATATATATATATTATTTGTTTATTTTTGTTTTTGTTTTATCAGGTGAAGAATAACAAAAAAAAATAAATAAAGTATATCGAAATATGTTTGTAACAAAAGAGGGGGGGATCAAATTTTTTATTATTACAAAACGTATATTATTATATACGAATTATTCAAAATACGCGCGTAATTATATATTTGTAAAAATATTTTACAGAAGATCACCCGACGTTTATCAATCATATTTTGTATCAATAACGTGTTTTATCTTATATATATATATATATATATATAGATAACAATTATATACAATATATAATATGAGGATATATAAATACATAACCTCAATATATATATATTGTACTGCATATTGCATTAGTTTGTTCAAAAATCACATTTGTTAAGTAGACAAACGATGAAGCTTGGCATTGGATACAAAAAAAAATATATTTGAAAAATGAAATAAAAAAAAAATACAAAATAGAAAATGATTGTGAATAACAAAAACATTGTATTTAATTAAATAAGTACACAAACAAACAAACAAAATAAAATAACAAAAATTCTGACGTATCATTTCGTTAGGTTTTTTTCTTTTTTTTTTTTTTTACAGAATTTTTTGGAGAATAATACGGAACAAAAACAAATAAAAAAAGTAATTAACAAAACGTAAACATATATGAGTGTGTTAAACAATTAATTGCACAATTAATTGCACAATATATGAACGAATAAATTTGTGTTACTCTTTTTTTTTTTCTTTTTTTTTGTCCCCTCTTCGGTTTTTTTTTTTTTCATTTAATAAAAAGCATATACATATATGTACTTTGTACTTTCTTCTCTTTTTTTTTGTTCTCTTATTTTTTTTTTGTTTCTTTTTATAATACAAAACGTGCGACGTGAGCTATTTACAATACCTTAAACCACCATAAATAATATATTCTATGTTAATCTCTTTGCACTCGAGCGGCGCCGATACGGCACCCAGTAGATTTCAGTGGCAACTCGAAAGGCGCCGATACGGCGCCCGGCGGCTGATTTCAAGTCATTTGTTACTCAATCTGTATAATTACGGTGTGTGATAAGATATTTCTTTAAAGATAATACTTAAAGGGCCCAAAAGGTTTACTCTGATCGTAATACACCTGGAGGTAAACCGGAAGTAACAAATTATTGTGATACATGTCCTGATAAACCTAAGATGCATCATCCACCTTAGCTATTGTTTTACGAAATATCATACAAAAATTAATTACAGAGTATATTTCTCAAATTTTCTTGTTTCTTTGATATACAAATAAATAAATTGATGTAATTTGATTATTTGTATACATTTGTTTGTTTATAAATGACTTTTCAAGTCATATTATTTCATTCAACATTTGTAAAATGTTTCCTTAATTTATTCCAAAATCGTTGCTCGAGTTGTTGGTCAGCTCGAATGCAAAAGATTAAACAATAACAATCAATAAATATGAACACAATAGTTCTAAGTATAAATTTGTTAATTGAGATAAATTAAATTGTATATCGGTGATAATTATACAGTTAAAATTGTACCTCGTTAAGACGGAATTATTTTCATTAATTTTATACAAGTCAACAATCCGTAAAAGAGGTAATAGTTTTAGCACAATTATAAACATCCCGGTTTATATTTAATTTATTATTATAATTATTCATTATTTTTCTTTCTTTCTATTTATCTTTTTTACTTTAAATTAATCATCGAAAATTGAAAAGCTTTAAGATACGGCAAGTTGATTTGCGTAGTAAGAAGAAGAAACATAAATTGATGATTGGTCATTTCTAAAAATCAGATCTTAAATGAGATATATATATGTGTATATATATATATATATTATATAATATAAATAAGAAACACATAAATCAGCTTATATAAAAAATATTACAATATTTTTTAGTATCTTTTCTTTTCTTTTTTTTTTTTACTTTTAAATATTCACAGATATTGAAAGAGAGACACTTACAAATTTGAGAGATGATTTTTGGAAATGATTTGTTATAATGAAAGAAAGAAGAAAAAAAAAGGATTATACAATAAAACCAAGAAAATTAAAACAACAACAACAACAATCCCCCTTTTCAAATTGACCGATAAGATGGTGGAGGTGGAGGAGGAGGAGGAGTTTCAGGTTCAGATTGTCTACTCATCGATACATTTCTTTCAAGATTATCTTGACATGTTCGTATTGGAAGACCCATGAACCTGTTAATGTTTTTGTTCAACATGCTACGTCTTAATAGACCTAACTTTAAATCATGTTGAGGTTTGACCTCGTTATATTTAAACAAACCATCACCAGGTGGTGGTAAACCAATTTTAGGTAATTTGTACCACCATTGATACGTTACGTACCAAGTTAAAACTGCAGCAATACCACCAAGAAATTTCTCAATCATAATGTGATAATATAATACAGTAGATACCAACATAACGTCCCATAATAATTGTTGTACAGTCATAAAAACAAACAGTGCTCTTAAATATGGTGTAAAAACTTTGTGAGCTTTTTTCAGAAATTCCAAATCTCTATCAGAGAGATTACGTAATGGTCCAAAACTGGTCTCGTTGGGTGTAATTCTGGTGTGTTCTTCTCGCATGATCAAATCTTTAATACCTTCCCAGCCAATCATAGAAGAACCTTCTTCTGCTAAGATGAGACTCGAGTATATCAGGATAAATGTATGACCCGATATATCAAAACCATTCCAAAATTTGCCAGCTTGAAGGCATTTAAATTTGAATTGTAATTGGGCTTCCTTGGTGTTGACACAACGACCAAAATTAGTTTCAATGTAATTGAACAATCTTGTCCACATTAGCCAAGCAAACGTGGCAAGTACCAAACGTGCCAAATGTTTCAACAATATAGATCTCCTACCACAACCAAGGGTGTGTGAAGTGAGAACAATCCATGGTACGGTTACCATCAACAACCATCCCCATCCCCATTTAACGAAATAACGATTAAGTGCATTATCTGATCGTGAGAAATACGTTCTAGGCATTATCACGAAATCAGCAACGAGTGATATCGTAAATATCGTACCACAATATATGGCAACCTTCAATCTGGTATCAAACAGCAATGATTTTTTACATAAATGTAAAAACATAGTTACAAGTATAAGACCTATTGAACTTGGTGCAGTTGTTGGTCTTGTACCACCACGATCCTCTTGATTCAAATTTGGTCGAAAATTTAAACGACTCAACGATCTGGCGTTACCACCGGAAAATATATTGTTGTTTCCCGCGAAATTGTTACCACCATTTCCGAGATTTGGGTGTACTCTTCTTCTACCAGCAGCCATCCTTGTTTCTTTGTGGTTAGTTTTATTTTCTTTCTTATCTCGTATTCTTCCTTAATTCAAGGTTCTCTTTTCTTGGATATTTGTCTTTACTATTATTATTATTATTATTAAACTTCAATCAATATATACGATTTTTCGTTCATTTATTTTCTTCTATTCATTATCTAATTAATTAGAGGTTAGAAACGTTTTAAACAGCTGATTCGAAATTAGGAGAAAGTTGTCACAATTTTGTTCACTTGTCCTTTTTTTATTATTATTATTATTATTATTATTTCGAACACTTATTATTTCTCTTTATTAATTATTAATTATTAACCTCAATAATTAGGCTACAACGTGTTTTATACGAAGACTACAACACTGTGCACGAGTAACTTCTTTTTTTTTTCTTTTTTGGTATATTTGTCGTACGTCCTCGACGAGTTTATAGTCCAATGTACCCAATTCTCGCTCAGTCATCAAAATTATATATTTATTATGTATCTTATTGTCCCCTCTCCAAATCTAAAATAATTATACGTTAGTTTTTTTATAATGTAGCATTGTGTAATGTCGTTTTATCAAAAATAAAAAAGAACAATAAAAATAAAGGAAAGATAAATGATATGTCACAATTGTACGTGTCATTTTTAACTAAGTTCAAAGTTCAAAGATACCGTTAAAAGTTCCTACGATTTCGGGGATTTTTTAGTCTTCTTTATATTTATATATGTATATATATATTATTTATTATCAGTTATCTAAATATTTCTATCAATGTGATTTATTATTATTAATTACATTTGATTTGAATTAATTACGTATATCTTACGTCTACTCGCGTTTATTTTTTTATTTTTTATCGACAATACGTTGGCGGGAAAATTTGAAATGCAAATGACGTTGCATTTATTTTCTTTTTATTCGCGTTTATTTTTTAATTTTTTTTTTGTTCGAAAATACTTTGGCGGGAAAATTTGAAATACAAATGACGATGCAATTATTTTGTTTTTGTTCGCGTTTATTTTTTAATTTTTTACGAAAATACTTTAGCGGGAAAATTTGAAATACGAATGACGATGCAAATGCCTTTTGTTGTTCTTACTCGCGTTTATTATTTAATTTTTTAATTTTCTTTTTCCTAAAATCGTTGGCGGGAAAATTTGAAATACAAATGACAATGCATTCCTTTTGTTGTATTTTACTCGCGTTTATTTTTTAATTTTTTTAGTTTTCTTTTATCTAAAATCGTTGGCGGGAAAATTTGAAAAAGAAAAATGTTTTTGCGTCTAGACCATTTGGAAAACAATATATTTGTGACATGATTTACATAGATACAATTATTTCGTTGCTAAATTTATAAATCTATCGTACAAATGAATACACTTTGATAACTATAACGATGATTTTCAGCAATAGTTTATTTCTACGTATTTATATATTATAATTTATGCGTATATAGTATACAATTGAAATTAACTCAATTGAATTATTTGACGTGCAGGGTTTTTGTGTCACACTGTGTAGGCATTTAAATATAATATCATTGAGTTTGAGTTTTAAAAATTGTGTTCACGTTGCAACAATATGTAACAATTGATGAATTATTTTAATGTTAAGCGTTGGTATGATATATTTTTCTTTTTTTGGTTCTTTTTCTATTGTTATACAATAATTTTTAAATTGTACATAACACACGTAGGCGATAATATTCGATGATAATATTTTTCAAAGTTAATAACGTGCAATGATATTAATATTTTTTTTTTTTACATTAATATAGGCGTACCGAAGCATAATACAGTTGCAACAAAAATTGCACCGTGTTACAGCGAGATAGCTCATTCGAAGGCACCATTATTATCGTTTGACTAGTAAAAAGATATTTTTCGATATAAGCTAGCTTTTATTTAATAATAATAATAATAGTAGTAGTAGTAGTAGTAATAATAATAGCAATAATAATAATAATACGTAAATTAAATTCAGTCGTGTAATATCACTTTTATTCGAATCACTCGGATTCGTTGAAATATTTTTTAAGATATGAAAAAAAAGGAAGAAGAAGAAAAAAAAAAGAATAATAAATAAATAAAAAAATAAATCAATTAAAAATTAGCATCGTTAGGATTAAAATTAAATCGATTAACAATTAATTCTCGAAATGACTATATAAATGGTGTATGTGTGTGTGTGTGTGTGTGTGTGTGATTTAAAGTAGTTGACTTTGATGTTGCATTAAACGTTTATCGTTTATCTATGCCATTAGAATGCATAGAATTAGCATAGTTGAGTAATGTTTTAAAAAATTGTACATTAGAATGCGGTAAATTGGATAAAATTAAATCTAATTTAACTATTTTTATTTTGGACGTTAACATTCTAGGTGATTCGTTATTGTACGATGACCAATAACTCACCAATTCTGGATATCCTTCATGATTGATATTAGTAGCCGTTATAGAATTATATCTCATTTGTAAATTTAAATCTGGTTGACAATGTAAACCATGGCACAATTGTGTAACATCGGTTTGACTAGCATTAATAACTTGTACATCAGTATAATTAACAAAAACTATTAATACTCTTTCAATTAATTTTCTTTCAATAACTTTCGATGCTGTAATAGTTACCGAAGGATTAATATCAAGCCATTCCCATAATTTAATAACAAATCCGGTGCTGTATGGTTCATCGGATGTTATTAAAAATGCTGGTTTAGATACAAATGAATTTGGGCTTAGATATTCCCAAATAGGAAACGTTTGATCTGACTGATTTTGAAATGTTAAATTGATAGTAGCTTTGCAAGATTCCAAAGGACAGATACCCTCATTTTGAATCATCAAACGATGATAACGCGTTGGTTTCCAATCATTATCTCCTTCATTCAATGTCATTGCTTTGAACATACGCGGTGATGCTTTTATCTCTCGTTTTCTTTGTGATAAACTCGAACCATTTAAAAGTACTTTTAACGAAACGTATTTCGTAATACCTAAAATGAGATATATAAATCATAAATATATATATATATATATATATGAAAAAGTAACAACAAAAATATGTAAAATATACATCAATATACATACGTTTACCATTCGTGTCATGGCACACGTATAAAATAGTACCATCGGAAACTAAATTGTATATGTTGACTAACGAACAATTATGTTTCGTATATTTTCCCAATAATTGGCCAGTATTACCAGATAAAAGTACAAGAGTGGATACATTTTCTTGAGATATTTCAACACTTAAAAGATCTTCAACTCCATCAGAATTAAGATCTGGTAATATAACTGGTAACTTTGAAAATGTATATGCTTCGGAAGTCCAATGTATTTTACCTTTACTTGGATCTATACTTTTTAATAAACCACCTTCACCGACAACGATACAATCTGCTTTTCCAGATTTATCTGTATCGATGGATACACAATCTATATTTGTGGGTATTCTTTCTAAACGTACCCACCAGGAATCAAAACCGCTGGTACCGTCTATATATAAAATAAAACCTTTTCTTGAAGTTTTAGTATTATAATTTACATTACTATCGTTGTATTCTTGACTTCGAAGTAAAAATATAAGATCGTAAGGTGATCCAGGTATTATTGTTATCGGCCCAAGTACTTCTACAAAAATAATATTAAACATTGTAATATATAATAAGTACACACAATGAAATAAGTATATGTATGTTTATAATTAGTTTATAAGTAATGTCACTTTTTAACCTCAAAATTCAAACAAATTGTTATTATTAATCAATAATTCAATTAATTAATCACGTTATCAACAATGTTTTTTTATCTGGTATGCAAATTTTTAATATTATGATAAAAATCATCACAATTGGTTTTTTGATTTAAAATATTAGAAATAATTTGACATGCGTAGTAACGACGACAACATTACTTTTTGGTCCCCCTAATGTATATATATATATATGTAGTGTTGTTTGTTTGTGCATAATTAACAAATTATTTATATATTGTGTATGTTTTTATATACTAACCTACGTTTAACAAAGTTTTTTCCCATGAAACGGAAGATTGTGGTTTATTAACCGGTGGACATACCATTGTGTCACAAGGTAAAACGTACAAAAACACAAGTATTGTTACTATGCATAATAATATAGATATGATTAAACAAAATCGTCTAAACGTTGACATATCTCTACGTTTCCATAAATCATTTTGCGAAGTGCCTTCTATTATCATCGTTGGTATGTCATCTCTGTAACATTTAATTGTATTTTGTCCATTTCTAGTACGATTAGCTAAATTTCTAGTTTCATCCAATGGATAATAAACTCCGTGTTCGTGTACAGTTGTAGGTTCCTATATAATTAATATTAGAAAACAACATTAAAATTATAACCTATATTTGTGTGTGTATAAAATATCAGTTTTCTTCTTTTTTGTATATATTAAGATAAAATCATTGAAATGTAAGATTTTGTGAACAAATGTGATTTATAATTTAATTGATATGTTTGTAATATTTGAACAATTATTAATATTACCATCATTGTTCTATCATCGTTAATTTGTTTATTTATTGTTAAATCATTTCTTGATATTATTTGTTTATCCTCATCTTCGGTATCGGTATTGCTCATACATTGAGGAAGAGGTGTATAACCTTTACCACTGTGATGCTCGGTAGACATGATTCAAATGTTATTTGATTTATTTACTTTTTAAGATATATTTATCGATTTAAGGATCAGTAATATTATTAATATTATATTATCAATTCATATTGAATGTAATTATTAAAAATCAATGTTTTTTTAGATCAAACATTACTGACCTTTCCCTTATAGCGAATAATACATCTGACATTAATCTCAATGTATATAGTATGTGTATATATGTGTATAGTATCATCAGTATAGAGGGCAGTTCATCTGCAATAATTCAAATGCATTCAAATATTAATGTGGTAACAAAAATAAATTAGTATAAATAATTTAAGTATTTGTTATATTATTTATTAATAATATTCAGTTATGGTAACAAAATATTGAATTGTTTGGGAAACTTGGTATAACATTTTAAATCTAACCTATTTTCATAGATTTTTTTTCTGTCAAGATTGACAATATTGAATATTATTGATAACCAAAACAAATTAGAATAAATAATTTATATATTTGTTATATTGTTTATTAATAATATTCAGTTATGGTAACTAAATATTTAATTGTTTGAGAAAACTTGTGATCAATATAACCTATTTTCTTTTTGGTTAAGATTGACAAAAGTTTTCCAGACAATTTCATATTTAGAAAAATAATAATAATTAAATGATTAATTGCAAATAATTATTTAAAATAAATATTTATTATTTAATTCAAATTTGTACTATCACCTCCCTAATCGTGAAATTGTGCATATTAATAACGTTTACAAGTGATTTACATGAACATAAATAAAATTATTCTCTGCAAAGTTTTTAAATAAATTATAAATATTATAATTATATATATATTTCAATAATAATTAATATTATTTAAAATAAATATGGAATTAATATTTTTCGTTTCTTTGGATAATTTTGGAATGTTTGTTGATACCATTTGTGTGACATTATAGCACAATCCACCTATAAAAAATAAATTCACATTTTAAACAATAATTTACATATATATGAAGAATTTGTTGATGTATTATATAAAATTTAATTACCTGATTAATTATTACCCAAAGTGTGACATAATGAAACGTACTACTTTGCCAAAGTATCACTGATAACATTGAATAAATTAAAATTTCTGTTAATTGCAATGGCGATGATAAATATTCAAATAAACCACCGTGTGGTATTTTGTAACCATCGAAGACAACTTTATTATTAGATTTTCTCAAATTGACTAATATAAAATTACATTGCAATTGCATCAGTGAAGATAATAAAAATATATTAGCACAAACTATTTGCAAGAATGTTAAATTATCCCAACTTATTGATTTATCTGTATCTGTACAAAATAAAAATCATTTGCATTTTAATGAAACAAACATTTCATACACATGCTTATGTATTATTTTATTTTATATAAAATAATATTACTAGAATGTTACCTCGAACAAAACCTTGTAATTCACCAACTATACTAAGTATTGTTCCCAAATAATGTAAATGTCCAACTATGTAATGAGATATATTTATTTTTTTATCTGAGAAAACATTAACATAATGTGTCTCATAGAATCTTTTCCAACAATGAATGGTAAGAAGAGTCATCGCTAAAAATCCACATTGCGGTGATACTAAAAATAAAATAAAATATTAATAATAATAATAATAATAATATTAATACGTTAATATTACAAAAATTTGAATATACATTACTTAATGCTTTTCTTGATGTACCCAGCGATGCATCTAATAAGAAATATACAGTTTCTGGAATTGTACCATTCATAAAATATTTATAACAAATTAAAATGAGAGCAAATGTAGAAGCTGGCATTGCAAAGACATAGAAGTGTCTGAACCATCTAAAATTTGATATAAAAAAGAAGATAAAATAGCAATAAGCTGTTTATTTTGAAAATTCAGTAATGGCTGACTCCATTTTCAAAAAAAAATCAAGTTAGCTACTGTAATAATTAGTCAAATATTATTTATAATTGAAGAATATGTAAAAATTGTTAGTTAATAATTATATAAATAATTTTATGCAATTATATTCACCTTTTTGGTACTTCGGCCATTACAACAAGTGGATGATGAATATTAATCGCATGTTTGCCATAATGAAATGTACGTGTAATTAAAACTGGTAAATGATCTTCAACATACATAAGAAGAATTCCAAGTAATATCATTATACTTGATTTAAATATAAATAAATAACTTATCCAATTTATATCCATCATTTTTACAATACAATGTCTTCGTTACGAACTATCACAATTGAATCTTCTCAAGTATAGTAATAGAAAGTATTATTTTTCTTATCTTTCTAGAAAGTAGGACTTTCAATGTAGAAACCAGGTTATCTGATCATTCCCTTATGTTAAATATTCACCCAACTGCAACAATACAATAATAAAATATTTCATTATTATAATATTAATATATTTAAATATTAAAACAAAACTATCATGGCGTCTAATCAAATGTTATCACAAATATCCTTTTAAGGGTTGATTCTTTTTTAAAATACAAATTATAAATTAAAATAAAATATTCAATGTATTAAATAATTTATTTTTCTGTAATATAAAAAATACATCAAAAAATATATCAAAAATGAATTATTTACTTTATTCATGAAGGGACAAATTTAGATGAATGTTTTTTTAAACCTGTGTTTAATTTGTGCGCAGATCGCGCGCTCTGGTGTGTGTCGCGATAATCAAGCGATGACGGATATAGTCGTCAAACACGCTTAACTGGTTAAAATAATTTGATTTATTTATTCTCTTCAGAGAGTTTATTTTAATAGATTATTTGTAACACTTGTTGTTGTTAAAACTTATGTTATAAATTATTATTATTAGATTTTTTTTAGATTTATTTATTTATTTACTGTTTCCCCGAAGGAATACACTCCTTTTACAATTATGTCCTTAACTTATCTTAACATTATCCTCTCCCTCACTTATCCCTTCCTCCCTTCCCCCTCCATCCATTCCAAACTTCCACTTCTTCCTCCCTCAATCCCAACCTTGTCTCTCCTTCCTTTCTCTCATACTCCCAATCCTCTTCATCCACTCCTCCCCCATTCTATTCCACTCTCATCCAAAATCTCCTTTATCCTCTCTTCCACTCCTCTCCCGTCCTCCTCACCTATAGCTCTACTGCAGCCCTCCAACACATGCTTTCAAGTCTCTCTCTCCCATCCACATATCCTGCATCTTTTCTTCTCCTCCTCCTCCCAGTATCTCCCTTCCCTCATCTCATTCCCTAATTCCCAGCTTAAAACCGTCCATACCAGTGTATCAAAGAGCCACAACCTCCTCACCCAATCCTTACCGAACATCCTCCTTCCCAAACCCCAAACCTGCCTCATTGCGACCCCTGCTTTCTTCACCCTATCCTTCACGTGCGCTTCCTGACCTCCATTCTTTTTGAACACATAGCCCAGATACCTGAATTCCTTCACCTCCTCTATTCTCTTCCCCTTCCAATTCCAGTCTATTTCTCTATTTCTTCCCCCTCCTCTCCTAAATCTCACTATCTTCGTCTTCTTCACATTGACCTTCAATTTCTTCTTAACACAATATTCCTCCATTCTCCTCAACATACTCTCCATTTCTTCTTCTCTCTCCGCCAACAAAACCACATCATCTGCATATGCTAGCAAACCAATCCTCCACCCTCTCACCCTTACCCCACCCCATCTTCCTTTCATCAATTCCTCCTCTAAGCCCGCTATCAGTAGGTTGAAGAGCATCGGACTCATTGGGCATATTATTATTATTATTATTATAATACTGTTATTTTCTATATTTTTGTATTATATTTAAATCAACAACTTTGTTGCAATACAAACATTATATGGACGGATTGTATTTTGTTTAATATATAATGTCATTATATATATATATATATATAAAAAAACTTGATATAAAAAAATATCTTAGTTTAATAATACATATATAAAAATTTATACAATCTATATACTATATACAAAGCTTAAACAATAATAATTAAAACAATTGTTTCTTAAAGTAATGGTAATTGAAACTTATCATAGGCACGTACTTCAATACGAAATGTTAAAGTATCTTTTCGTAAAAAATCAATTAAATCCTGTATACGTACAAATTCAACATAACCAAAACTACGTTTGTTTAATTCACAAATGGGTTTTCTGAAAGCTTCAAGATCAGGTCTTGAACAAGTCTTTTCTCTAATATCTTTTTCTGAATTATGTGGATGTATCAATACAAAGTACATAACACCATTGAAGGGCCAATCCAATGCGTCATCATTCTCAGATTTCATGATATGTAAAAGTAATGATAAAAATTCTGGATCCTTAGATGATATGTTAATTCTTGCACACATTTTGTAACCGTTAGGTCCAGTATAAAATCCTGAACTATAATACATCTTTAAAGGATCATCTATCATAGCATTGAGCTTTTCTCTAAAGGAATTTAATTTCCATATATAAACACCATTACAATTACGCAATAACATTTCATCTTTGTTAAAACGTATTGAAGTTTGTAATGCGGTTAATTGATTCTTTTGATTGGAGACTGTAATTGAAAGTTCTCGATTTTGTTGTTCCAATACAACTATCCTTTCATACAAATTCCTAAAAATATTACATTGCTTAATATACTATAAATATGATATAGAAATATATATATATTTCTGTAAATTACTTTAATAATTGTTGCCAATCAGGTGGTGGTTCTTTATCTGACACCGATGTTCCATTTTTAGGTGGTGGATCCCATAATTTAGATTCTGCAGATAAAGCACTGACATTGTTTTGAGTCATCGATATACGTGAAAGTGAATTTAATATCATCTGTTAATGTAAATAAATATATACAGTAAATATTAATTAATTCGTTTAATGTTTTATCGTATTTTTTTAATGTACTAACAGTTAAGTGTAAATTGATATTTTTATCCAAATGAATGCGCAAAGTTTCTTTCGAACAAAATAATTCCATGCAACCGACGTCTTTAAAGGAACATGGAATATCATTTGAAGTTGACAGATTTTTGTATGTACATTCATTGATATGAGTTTCCATATCAACTGGTGACAATTCAGTCATACAACCAAGTTGACGATACACACATGTGGTACGTTGTTGTGATATTTCTCTACTTGTATAAAGATCTCTGAAAAGATCGCTTTCAGATTTTAATGGTTGACTGTCTATTGGACAACAAGCACCTTCTTTTCTAATTCAAACAAAAAACAAAACAAAAAAACAATTCAAAACAAATGTAATATGATTAAACATATTAGTACTGTCATGCATGTACACATTAATAATTTCAACATTTTAATTTGTAATAGTAATAAATATTACATTATTGTTTTATTGGTAATACTTTTGATGATTCAAATATAATGAAAATTGTTATAAAACTTACTGTAACCAAGTGTAAATGCACCGTGAACAAAATTTATGACCACAAGATGTTAAAACTGGATCACGTAGCCATGTTAAACAAATTGGACACTCAAACCGTGGTTCCAAGTATTCTTTCATACCATCACCACACTGCACCAAATCAAGTGCACATCAGTTAATGAAAATAAATGTTAACGCATTGTTTCATGAAAGATTCAATAACAAAACAATCTATCATCGATTACTATACACAATTATTTGAAAAAAAAAAAAGATAATATAGATATAAATATAAATATAAATTAAATAATACAATACGTACTATTCCACTTTCTTCTGCCACTTTAACAGGTTCAGTAGAATTCTTTGATGTGGCCATTATCTGTAAAAGAGGTTATGATAAGTTTAAGAATAAGAAATACATATGTATTTATATATGTATGTTATTTATTATATATGTATAAATATATATAAATATGCATATATACAATAGATAACAATATTATAATTTTATATATATATATATATATATATATATATATATATATATATATATATATATATATATATAT